TAGTGCACTCAAAGATCCAAACTGGTACAATGCTATGAAGGATGAATATAATGCTTTGATTGCTAATAATACATGGGATTTAGTACCCCCCTCCCCCAACCAAAACATTATCTCTGGAAAATGGCTCTTCCGACACAAACTTAGCCCCACAGGTGAACTGTCCAGGTATAAGGCACGTTGGGTTGTCCGTGGGTTCAATCAGCGCCATGGCATTGATTATGATGAGACTTTTAGCCCGGTGGTTAAGCCCGCAACCATACGCATTATCCTCAGTTTGGCAGTCTCTCGCGGGTGGCGGATTCACCAACTAGATGTCAAGAACGCCTTTCTTCATGGATCTCTCACAGAGACTGTCTACACAGCTCAACCATCTGGGTTTCAGGATCCTGATCGTCCTCACTATGTCTGCAAACTGAACAAGGCGCTCTATGGGCTGAAACAAGCACCGCGGTCCTGGTACCAGCGCTTCACGGGTTTCCTTCTCTCTCTTGGATTTCGCGGGTGCAAGAGCGATACCTCCTTGTTCACTTATGGGCAAGGCTCACAGATGGCGTTCTTGCTTCTCTATGTAGATGACATCATACTCACAGCCTCCACCCAGACACTTCTTCAGTCTATCATTCAGCGACTGAAGGGCGAGTTTGCTATGACAGATATGGGGGATCTTCATTTTTTTCTAGGGATCAATGTCCAGCGCACGTCTCATGGGTTATTTCTCACACAAACTCAGTTCCTCTACGACATTCTTGAGCGCGCCGGTATGGTTTCGTGCAAATCGGCATCTACCCCCGTTGACACTCGCGGGAAACTTTCGGCCTCCGCAGGTCCCCCAGCACAAGATCCCACTTTGTACAGGTCCATTGTAGGGGCACTACAGTATCTTACCTTCACCCGTCCTGACATCACATATGCCGTCCAGCAGCTGTGTCTCTTTCTTCATGATCCACGCCTCCCACATGTCACAGCAATGAAACGGGTGCTGCGCTATCTTCATGGGACACCCTCCCACGGTATTTCCATCTCTCCGTCCCCCACAGACTTTATGCGGGCTTACTCGGATGCTGACTGGGCGGGCTGTCCCGATACTCGCCGATCCACCACTAGTTACTGCATTTTTCTCGGCGACAATCTCATCTCCTGGTCCACCAAGCGTCAGCAAACCACGTCACGATCGAGTGCTGAAGCGGAGTACAGGGCCATAGCGAATGCCGTCGCGGAAGTCAGCTGGGTGCGTAACTTACTTCAAGAACTCAGCAACCTCTCAGCCGGTCCACCCTGGTGTTCTGTGACAATGTCAGTGCCGTCTACCTTTCTGCCAATCCTGTCAAACACCAGCGCACTAAACACATTGAGGTTGATATACACTTTGTCCGAGATAAGGTGGCTCTCGGACACATACGAGTTCTCCATGTTCCTTCCTCGTTGCAGTATGCAGACATTTTTACAAAGGGGCTCCCAACCATGATCTTCACAGAGTTCCGTGACAGCTTGGGAATCCGGAAGTCGTTACCAGTGCCGTTGGGAGCATGTTAAATATAGTGTTTCTATATTTAATATATTGTGTATTTATTATTGTATATACTAGTTACCATGTGTATAGGTTACCTTAATTATATGTTTCCTAACCTAACTAGGAATCTCCTAGTATATATATCTTGTATTATACACATTATTATGATTGGAAATTATTCAATCTTTCAGAATGGAGTTGTGATGGTAGATGGTGATGGTGATGATGTATAATAGTGATGATGGTGGTGGGATGGGATATTATAGAAAGAAGTTTGGAGTGTTGTGGTGTAGTGGGTGGAGGTTTGAAAATTTGGGTTTGTGAGTAGCAAAGGAAGCTACGTGATTGAAGACTTTTGGGAAAATTAAAATATTCTCCTACTCCGTAACTGATAAACTGGGTAAAACGGTACAAGCTTTTTCGCCCAAACTGTTCCGATTTGAAAACGGATCGCGTTTTTGGAATCAGACTGTCAAAACTAGAATTTTGACGTAACCAAAATATTTTTCTGAGAACTTTTATTTTTCTCAGTGTCTGGGTCTGTCTCAGTCATAATTTAATATAATAATATGAACGAGATAAAAATATATGAATTAAATCCAAATGATAAATGTGGTGTTGTCAAGTGTCAAAATTATGATTTATAACCTGATTAAATCACTTTTGAATTGAGTTTATTTTATGGGTCAAAGTTACAAATTTTAATATTTAAAATTGTCATAACTTGAAATCTATAAATCAGATTGATTCATAAAATGTACAGTTGGATTCGTCTCTTCGAGACATATCCATAAAAATAACTTTTTAACAAAAATTCATTATTTTGAAAATCCATTTATTTTTGGTCACACGTATAAATATTTCTCATTGGACAAAAATTACTTTTGTTTTATAATAAATTTTAGGCCATATTTTGTGGCGTTACACGTGAAGCAACAATATAAAATTAATCATAAGTGAATACTAACTTAGTTACGGAGTAAAATAATCTTACAAAACATAAAACTATTGGGAATTGTCATAGCAAAACATAAAACTATTGGAATTGTCTTTTTTGAAACTTTAGGAGGTAGCCTTGGATCATATGGTACCAAATCTATTCGAGGTATGTAAACTTTTTCCCCGTCTCGATTTCTCGAAACCACAATTACACGTTTAACATTTTTTCACACCTCTTCAACAATTAATCTTGTACCATTATACAATCCAAATAAAATAATCAGTACCCATTTTTTCAAAACTATTTTTTTGAATTGATTTGGGATCCCCGAACATCTGAACATTTGATTTCATTCAAAAATTCAAATATTATCCAATAAGCATCAACACCTACATTGACATCTTCTTGCCATTAAGAATTATAACTCAAGTACTCCTTTTTCATCACTGAGAATGAGGAATAAGACAAACTCATTTACCATTTCAACAACTTCGAGAGTGGGTGCTAATGGTGCCCTATCCTAAAAAAGTATATTTTTTCGTATTCTCTAATAAGTTCAGATAAGTAAATTCCAATACTATACTCTTGAGAGGATAATTTATGTCAAGAATCAAGAATCCCGGCAGAATTTCAACGTCAGCGATTCCACCAATCACCTGACCAAGCTTTCCATCTCCATTTTTTTTGAAAGCAATCAAATTTCATTATTATTCCAATAAATGAGAAATACAATTCGGAGGAGATGTATTCCACGTAGAAGATTGAGTTATCTAATCGGAAAAGGTTGTGTATCCCTATCTAGATAAGAGGACATAGATGAATGCAATATCATATTCTTACTCAACGTAGAAACTTTACAATACAACCTCAATTTTGGGGAAATCTTGGTAGCACCATTAATTTTCTCTCTTGAAACTTTGGTAAAATTGGAAGGATTTGTTGAAAATCACTTCCGAGTTCTAATATTTTCCCTCCGAATGGTTCATTTCTAGAGCCATTATTGTAGAACCTCAATATCTCTCTCATTGTGTGAGCCAATACCTCAAAAGTAAATCTATTCATTACACATGCTTTATCTCATACAAGTCCACTTGCTTGTTAGATTAATTCTACTTTCGGACCCCCTTATTTGATAGCACACGTTGATCACTTAGTTAAAGCCAGAGATCGAGATTGAGAATCTCGAGTGTGCCGTCCTTCCACCAGGAAAAAGCAATGCTGCAATGTCACTGGATGCAATATTCCAAACAGTCTTACATACCATTCGTTCTTGATAAGTAGACATTGGTTTCTATATAAAAGTTTTTCCAAATCTCCCGTAACCATATACAAAAAAAGAAACCTCTTCTTTCAGATATCAAATTTTGAGTATCATATCAGATATGTACTGTTTCTTTGATCTTCATTCATCGTAGATAAATATACTGTAAAATCAAATGAAAATTTTTCTTTGTCATAGTTCAAGCTCTCAGAAATTATTTTGAAATCTATTAAGAAGACAATCATCTGGATATGACATAACACTGAATTCCTTTAAAAATATATAATTTTGATATTATTTTTAAACTTTTTCTTTACTTTGTAATAAGGTAATAAGGTATGATGTGTAGGATATATGATTGTAGGATGCACCTTTTTTCTAATTTGAAAAGTTTTACTCCCTTCGTCCTAATTCTTTCTTCCCAGTTTGACTTTTCCCCATTTTTAATTTTTGGCTTTGACTTCAAATTTTACCCTCCTTAAAAAATATTTTTTTGAATTTTTTTTTCAATCATTCAAAATATAGAGTTAGAAGATAATTGGTGTAAATACATGAGGGTATTAATGTCATTTGCCATCTTTTTTTTCTAATGGGAAGGTAGTTTTAGGACGGAGAAAAAGGGGAAGTGGGAAGATAATTTTAGGACAGAGGGAGTATGAGACGCCTTTCTTTGTATTTGAAAAATTTTATGGGATGGATGTAGTATAATTTTTTTCCAATATATAATGTTAATTACTTATATTAGGTTTCGCAAAAAACAACTTACCTAAGTAGTCAACATTGCATATGCATTTTTTTCAAAAAATATCTTCAATAATTCTAAAATTATTGTCGTTGGTTTAACGCATTGAAACTCTTATTTAAATCTATGAAATTTGTTTTAAACATGTTAATGATTCTCGACAAATTTTATCGTGGACTTAAGGTGTACCATATACGTACATATGAGCAAAATAAGTATTTATTTATTACTAAAATAAGCATTTGTTTTTATAAATAAAAAAATTAAAAAAATATTTTTGTGTGTGTGAAGGTTCATAAAAATGATATGCACTCAAGGTGCGCTAAAGAAATACTCATGATTCTCCCCCCATTAAACATTATGATTAAGTATCCAGTTTGGATATTGTAATTTTCTTAGTTAAAAAAATGTCTAGAATCAAAATTTTAATTATTTCTAAAGTTATCAAATGTTAGGCATTAGAATAGACAATAAAAAGAAGATGAAAGTAAATTCAAATGACAGTAATAGTTAGAAGGGAGAAGTAGTGAGGTAGAAGTCAAAATAAGTAATTTTGATACTTTTTTTATATTTTATGTTTATAATAGTTTTTCCATTTTTTAACCTTTTCAATTTGTTCTAACTTAAATGTGTTATTATTATTATTATTATTCAATGGAATAATTAATTTACATAAAAATAAATTAAACATATATTATCAATAGAAAGAACTATAATGTTTTTTTTAAATTGCACTCATTATAATTAATCAAAATACATTAGAAAAAAATTTAAAAATTACTCATCCTAATTATCTTCTTAAATTTCTACTTTGTAATTTATATTCAGTCGTCGTATAAGGTATATATTAGGCATATTAATTAAAATTTGATCTTTCTATATTTTAATATAAAAGTGCCAAGTCATTAAAATTTTCCAACGTGGCGGATGACTCATAAAAAATTGCCATGTAGACTTGCCACATGTCGATATTCTATGAGCTCGAGTCTCAAATATTATATATAAAGAATATAAAGAATAAAGAATAAAGAATAAAGAATTAAACTACTGGAATCCCTTATTTTTATTAATTACGGAGTACAACACAAAATAATTAATGAAAAATAAGGTATTAGACAAAGTTGAGTACATGAAACTTTTTTCAGATGAACGTTCAAGAAATGGATACGGTTTAGATTCTTTTTTTCCTTCAAGAATTGATTACATAATTGACAAATCAGATTTAGCATCCAGTGAGCAAGATGCTTATTACTCCGTATACTCCGTATAACACTATTAACAATTAACAATGAAACAACATCAACAATAATGATCAATTGATCATATGTAATACTCCGTAACAATAAACAAAAGACAGGGCAATTCAAATTATTGTTTCGCGTGGGAATTCTTCTCAAAAAATCTATATTCAGTCATGAATAATTACAAATTGCGGGTTATAGAGTAAAATTTCTTACTTTTTGAAATCATTTTATTTACAAATTGGTATATCAATAAGTGATAAAATTTAGAATTGGGTAGTGATAACTAGATTGGGTAATAAGACACTTGGGTTGAACCACATTAAAAGATTGAATCCAATCTATTAGTTAGTTCAACTCTAGAGCTTATATACCGATTATTTTACTCTTGGATTTCCGATGTGGGATATACTCTTACACTCCCCCTCAAGTGGACAATCGGGCCATTTTGAATCTAACCGGTTGACCACTTGCAAATGAACTCCTATTCCCTTGACTTTTTTTTTGAGCGCCAACCCTTAAAGGATCACGAGCCGCTGGGTATGGACTTCCAGACGAGCAATTGTGTTAAACAGGCCACAGGCCGTTGGGTACTACCTCCATACGGACAACTTGGCTAAAGACTAACAGGCCGCTAGGAATGAACGTCTAGACGGACACCTTGACAAACGAGGTGGGCTAAAACTGGCTCCGATACCATGATAAAATTTAGAATTGGGTAGTGATAACTGGATTGGGTAATAAGACACTTGGGTTGAACCACATTAAAAGATTGAATCCAATCTATTAGTTAGTTCAACTCTAGAGCTTATATACCGATTATTTTACTCTTGAATTTTCGATGTGGGATATACTCTTACAATAAGCTATAAAAATTACATATTAAAAAACTACATCAAAAGTTCTACAAAACAAGAGATGACAAGAATATTTTATTTTATCAAATACTTGATGAAATTGCGTAAACAAACAAAAGTTATCGAGAGGAGAGAGAAAAAAATATTGTAATCTATTTAGGGACGGAAGGAGTATGTTGCAGTATTAAGAGTCATAGATCATAATGGTTTAATATTAATAAACCATTAATATTAAATAACATATTACTGATCGTGCAACGGATATGAATATAGTTCTTTTCAATTGAGTAAATTCCATAATTTGTCCTTTATAACATGGGGGTTTCCATATTTAGTCCTTTATTATCAAATATTACCCCGTAGTCCTTTTTTTAAAGGTACCTTTCCATAAATGGTCCTTTTTTTGATCTTCTGCCATGTTGGTATTAATTTAAAGGCTAAAAGTATAATTTGACATCAACATTATGTCTAGTGATGTATTCTGATATTGGTTAAGCGGATAACACAAAAATAATGACTATGATTGTGGGCTAGGATTCTGACGAAAGATCTCATTAGTCATTAAGGCTTTGATACGATATCCGATAATCAATTCAACCAAAAGCTTAAGTTTGCGGTTGTAGCCCAAGAATGGTTTTATATATACTCTAATGATATTAGTATAAAATGATTTTTCTTAGATTTATTTTAATGAGAATTTTCAAAAATTTTATTTTATTGTACTAATATGCAATACAAGTTGAGAGTAATTTAAATTAAACTTAAAGTTTATATTATTTGACTCAAAAAAATCGAACTAAAAAAATACACAGGGACTAAGATAGTACTCTCTTTGTCCCCAAATAAATTTTTCCTTAAGTTTTTTCTTTGTCCCTAAGTAAATTTCTATATATATATATATATATATATATATATATATATATATATATATATATCCCCTTCATTGCCTTCGGAGTGGCAATACAAGGTAGTGAAGTCGTCTTCTTTGTCTAGGTTCCCAATATTCATGCACGTCGAGGAGGCTAGGGAAGGTTTGCTAACCCAGTAGTCATCTTTACTGAAAAGGTTTGAGGCAAGGAAAGGGACTACTGGAGTAGAGGAGTAGGGGACCAGTGCCATACTGTCATCAGAGTTATGGTGGGGTAGTGGGACAGATTCATGTTTATGTGAAGGAGATGGCGTGGCTTGGGAGAGGGCATCATCTTCATTTACATCTTCAATGATAGGCATGAGAAGAGACCAGTGGGACTTCACCTGTTTGGACGTACTTGGTTGATCATAAGTGGTGTGAACAACAGGAGGGGCATGGGGAAGAGGGACGCCAGTTTTAGGAATGGCAACCTGATTTTGGACTAGGCTTTTGGTAGGGGAATATCTAGGTCCCACATTAAAATCATCCCTACCCAAAAGTGAATCTGGCTTGACTCGTCTTTTTCCTTTTACCCATGTCCACCCTGCAAGATCCTCCGTAAAGCCCGCTCCCTTGTGGCCCACCTCACCAGCCGGAGCTTTTCCGGTGAGGTTCGATAGTTTATGCTTCCGGCAATTGTTGACATTATGCCCAAAAATAGAACAACAGGAGCAGAATTGTGGTGGATTCTCAAACTTACAAGGAAGCCAGAGATCCTTGCATCCCAACCGAACATGAAGACGGGAAGGAAACGGCAGAGAGGTGTCCCTTTCAACGCAGAATCTAGGTTGTTCAGGGAAAACACCAATCGCAGTATTGGAGTCGAGTTTAACAGGCTTACCAAAAAGGGATGCCACTTTAAATAGAACTCCATGGTCGTTGAGATGAACTGGGTAATGCTCGAGCTTTATCCACACCGGAGCAATTGGGGATTCACGAGTTGGGGAGTAGTCTGGGGACCATTTGGAGATTGCAACACTGATTCCATTGATAACCCAGCGTCGCCGGGAGAACCAACGCAAGTAGTCTCCTTCCCGTTTAAAGAGGAAGAGAATGTCATTCTTTCGCAGCCGTCTCAGTTTGAACTCATAATAGCCGCCTTTGACAAGGAATGCCTCCAAATCATCTAACCTGACTCTACTACTGCATCGCCCCACAAGCCCACGGGAAAGAGGTTCTGCCAGCTTTATTTCTTCTTCAGAGGAGAAGGATATGGACGGAGCACCGTTGAAGATTCCATGGTTGCTTCCAGGAAGATTTTCTGTACCTTTAGGGAGCAGTTCGGAGAACAGAGTCTTCCTGTTGGAGTGCAAGTGATTTTGGATCTTCGCCTGAGATTTCTCATTTCCCGTGACCGGAAGTTCAGAGATGCCTTTTGACATCTCTGAACTTCGACCCCTCCAGGTGGATATTTCTTCTTGCAGTACCACCCCAATGCCTTTCAAAAAGTACCTCAAACACTCCAAAGTTAATACTCCCCATGCTATGGAGACAAGGAGTAAAAGCTCTAATAAAGTATCATCTTTGGTTTCCAAATGCAGCTGATTTTTTGGAATGGCTGTGGGGTTCCCTCTTCCCTCGACAGACTTATTTCCCTCAAGAGGATTCACACCCCTTCTTTCTTCTGTCTCATTGAACCTAAAATTTCTGCCTCACACATCTCTACCTACGGCCTCAAATTGGGTTTCAGCAATCATCTCTGTTCAGCTAATAACAAGAGATGGATTTTTTGGGATTCTAGTCTGCTGCATTTGGTCAGCTCTGACGATGAAGAACAAGTTACTCACTGCAACTTCTCCATGGTTAACTACTCCAACTCCAACCTTACCATCTCTTGTGTTTACGGGGCTCACACGGTGGTTGAACGAAGGCAACTTTGGGAAAGCTTGCAGGGGAGGAGCAACTTAAATCACAATTGGGTGGTGGGAGGTGACTTTAATGCTATTTCTTCGCCTTCAGAATTCAAAGGACAGTGTGAACCAAGCGCACTAGGTATGGAAGAGTTCAACTCGTGCATTGAAGCCTGCAATCTGTTCTGTCCAGACCCTTCCGGTGGTCTCTTCACGTGGTCTGGCACAAGGAGCCGTGGGAAAACATGGCGTAGGTTGGACAGAGTATTGGTTAACCTAGCTTTTCAATCCTTTTTTCCAACCTTTTATATTCATCATTTACCCAAAGCTTGTAGTGACCACAAAGCTATCCTTTTTTCTTGCCATTCAAGCCTAGATCGTGGTCCTTCTTCCTTCAAATTCCTGAATGCCTGGATACACCACAACCGGTTCCTCCAAGTGGTTAAGGAATGTTGGACAAAGAGTAGCTCTTGTGGTGGCATGCGTGGACTTGTGGCCAAACTCAAAGATCTAAAGGGATGTCTTAGGGAGTGGAACAAGAAGGAGTTTGGCAATATCTTTGAAAATCTAACTATGGCAGAGGAGCTTGCAACCCAAACCCAGCAGCACTATGAGGCAGATCCAACCGAAGCCAACCGTGCACTAGCCCAGGAGGCCAACGCCAAGCTCCTACTCGCTACTCACAAAGAGGTGGCTTATTGGAAGCAAAAAGCTAATGCAAGATGGCTAGAATCTGGGGACTCCAACTCCAAGGTCTTTCATGCCTTTGCAAATGGGAAAAGGAGGAAGCTTGCAATCAATCATATTATTTCGGACGATGGTTTAGGGCTCTCCACGCAAACAGAAATCTGCTTGGAAGCCACTTCTCACTTCACTAAGCAGTTTAAGGCCCTCTCCCCCCCAACCCTCTTCACTCCTTCACACAAATCCCTTGCCTCGTTACAGACAGTGACAACACCCTTCTTAGCAGAATTCCTTCTTTGGACGAAGTTCGGCAGGCAGTTTGGGACCTGGACAACAGTAGCGCTTCGAGACCGGATGGTTTCAATGGCCTTTTCTTCCGCTCTTGTTGGGATATAATCAAAGAGGATATGCTCAAAGCCTCCCAAGAATTTTTCTTGGGGCTTCCCATTCCTAGAGCCTATGGTAGTACTCTCATTTCCCTTATCCCCAAGAAGGATAGCCCCAAACGCTTCGACGACTACAGGCCCATCTCCCTTAGTACGTTCATGAGCAAGGTCAACACCAAAATTCTCTCCACCAGGCTCAAACCCTTGTTGCCCAAGCTGATCTCCTCCAATCAGGCAGCTTTTCAACAAGGTAAAAGCATGGCTGATCATATCCTTCTAGCTCTCGAAGCAGCTCATAACCTGGACAGAAAAGTGTTTGGTGGAAACATGATCATTAAGATTGATATCGCCAAAGCCTTCGACACTCTTCGTTGGGATTATCTTGAGGCTATTCTTAAGGAGTTCGGCTTCTCCAGACAAGTCATTGGTCTTCTCCTGGCCAACCTTAAATGCACCATGCTTTCGGTTCTTATTAACGGGCAGCCAACTGGTTATTTTCCAATGTGTAGGGGTGTCAAGCAAGGTGACCCCCTTTCACCTCTTCTCTTTATTATTGCAGGGGAAGGTCTCTCAAGAATGCTCAACAAAAGTTTGGAAGAAGGCCACATTCATCCTTTTAATTTGGGTAGTGTTAAGATGCCGGGCCATCTTACCTACGCGGATGATATTATGATCTTCACAAAAGGGGATACTATCAACCTTCTCAAGCTAAGGAAACTTCTTGGAGATTACTCCTTGGATTCGGGGCAGGTAGTCAACTTCACAAAGAGTAACTTTTATGTCAAAACCACTACCCCCGTCTCTCAACTGGCCAACATGAGCAAGAGCCTTGCAATGGAAGCAGGTTCTCTTCCCTTTCGTTACCTTGGTGCAACCATCTGCAAGGGTATACTTAGGAAGCCGCACTGTGATCATCTTGTTGCACACTTCGACAAGCACCTACTCTCATGGTATAGCAAGACTCTTAACCCTATGGGAAGGCTTATTCTAATAAAACACGTTCTGTCATCAATCCCCTTACATATCCTGGCGGTTCACACCATCCCGGCGTCGATCATCAACTTTCTTCATGCACGGATGGCTAACTTCTTTTGGGGATCAAGGAATGGCGCTAGGCTACACCATTGGAAAAGCTGGACGTCTCTTTGCCAACCAAGTTCTTCTGGTGGTTTGGGCATTAATGACTTGCGGAAGATGCAGGTTCTCCATTCAATAAACCTTTGGTGGAGGGTTAACCATGATAACGGTGTATGGGCTTCTCCCATGAGGGACATTTATATGAAGAAAGGCGACATTAAGGAGAAGCTTACGGACTCCCCAACGTGGAAGAGGATCTGTAGGGTACATGCCCTGGCCCTTAGTCATTACAGCGGAAGTCCCAACCCTCCTCTCTGGCACGGGAAACCCTTCTCCCCTAAGAATGTGCTTATCTCCATTGGTGATGGACTACCTTCCAGGCTCTCTTGCAAATATATTTGGCACTCGGCTCAAACCCCCAAGCTCAGAATCTTTCAATGGAAAGCGTTCATGGGCTGTCTTCCCTTTCCAGACCTTGCTGCAAGGTTCTCGGACAGTCTCCCCAGTAGGTGCCCCCTGTGCAAATCCAGTGAAGAAACCTTGGATCATACGCTAGCCTCCTGTTCCATCAGCTTGAACGTATGGAGTTACTTCGCAGCCCTCATTGATGCACCAAAACCGTCCTCAGTACTGCAACTTAATCAAATCTTCCTCACTTGGTGGTTCAGTGCTGAGTAATCTTCATTTAAGGGTATCCTCAGATTAGTCCTGCCGGGAGTCATCTCGTGGCATCTCTGGAAAGCAAGGAATCAAGCCATTTACGATGGAACAACCACGACTAAAGAAACGATCATTCAAAGGTGCTTTTATCACATACAAGCTTGGAGTTGGGCCTCTAGACGAAAGAGGTGGTTGGTTAAAGATAGCTGGTTCGAAGATTGGGGGTTGGATCTCTTTTGGGTTAATGGTAGTAGATTGTTGAATGTAATTTGAAATTTCCTTTTGGTTTGTACTTGGTCTTTCTTCCTTAATAAAATTTCACCCCTTTCATTAATATATATATATATATATATATATATATATATATATATATATATATATATATATATATATATATATATATATATATATATATATATATATATATATATATATATATATATATGGGATTGACTCAAGTCAGATGAATTGACTCCAGTCAGATGACACCTTACGGTGAGATGACATGCTACGGTCAGATGACACAAAGCTCACCACTGGACACTGCAAAGCTCACCAAGGACAACTACAAAGCTAACCAAAGTGTAAGGCAAAGCTCACCATATTTTTTCAACATTTTAAATTTTTTTTGAAAAAAAAAATCAAAGGAAGTGATGCTGACTGGACTTTGACCATTGACCATTGACCATCACCGGCAACCCCCTGTCGCTGCCGACCTCCGGCCGCCGGCGACCTCCGGCAACCTCCGGCGACCACCGCCGCCGCCGGCCGCCGACCTCCGCTGCCGCCGTCGCCGGACTCCGGCAGCCACCGCCGGCCGCCGGCGACCACCGGCGATCTCCGCTGCCGCTGCCGCCGGACTCCGGCCGCCGCCGGCCCCCCGCCGCCACTGCCGCCGACCACCGCCAGTCTCAGCCGCCTCGCCGCCGCTGACCGGTGTTTGACCGGTCATGCAATTTTATTTTTTTTAAATTTTTTAATTTTCAAAATTAAAAAAAAGGTGAGTTTTGATGGTCAAAGTGGTGAGCTTTGCTTTATTCCCAGGTGAGCTTTACATTAGCCATGGGTGAGCTTTGCAGTGTAATGTGGTGAACTTTGCAGTGTAATGTGGTGAGCTTTGCGTCATCTCACCGAAGCATGTCATCTTACCGTAATGTGTCATCTCACTGGAGTCAATCCCATATATATATATATATATATATATATATATATATATATATATATATATATATATATATATATATATAAAAGCTTAAATAATAATTTGAAAATATTTGATATAATAAATCTAATAAATTTTAATTGTATCTATTACCACCATATATTTTGAATAATTTAACTTATGATACTTCTTATACTAAATCTAAAAACATTAATACATTTTCATCTTACACAAATTATATTTTATAAAATATAACTAAAAATCATATGTTTTAGATTTCGTGATATGTTAATTTGTTGATTTCTAGCTTAGTAATTTAAATACATTTTATACTATATTAGTTTATATGATTATTGATGTTGAAACATGGTTTATGGGTATATATATATTCAAATATTCAAATATCACCCGAATCAAATATACTCCTATTTATATTTGTATTTGTTTAATATTCGAATCAAAACTAATATTTAAATTTGAATTTGTATTTGAAGAATGAGAATTCGAATCATTATATTCGAATACAAGTAACGAACGGAACTAAAAGTATGGTTTTATAATGCGGAATATAAATCGGTGGCGTTCAGCGTTTAGTGGTCATTGGCATGGCTCGCTACTGGCATTTGGGACGCCTCCCAGGCTCCCATGCTAGCTTTATTCTGTTTAAAAACAACATTTGTTGATTAGTTTTAACATTTTAGATATTTTTTTAAAAGTATAATTTTTTTTGGAAGTAATAATGTTCGTGGGTTGTTTGTATGAGGAGAGGCAATATGAAGAAAAAAATTTCTACTTATATCTATGCGTATAACGTATTCGTCTAGTTGGTTTTTTTCGAGTCAAATCAAATGAATTTTGAACCTCGATGAAATAAAGCAGGTAATATATTTTAGTATAAAAATTATTTCAACAAATTCATCTAGTTGAAAGTATTTAAATTTTAATTTATTGTATTGATATGCAACACAAATTAAGAATAATTGATAATTAAAATTTGTTCACTTAGACTAAAAAAATCAAATTAGATCAATAATTAAGACAAAAAGAGTATATATTTATATTCATATTTTAAAAGTTTAGTCTACTAACTTTTGAAAATCTAGTCTGCTTTGAACATGCGCAAATTATATTGTACAACTGACTGTACGGAAAGAACTGTACAGATGAAGAAAATAAGCGGCAAGAGCGAAGAACCGAAGAAGTTTGCGAAGGAGGATGTACCATATACCTTCTCTTAAACACGTGTTATCTCGCAAAAAAAATACTACGTATTCATATACGGAGTATTTAAAAAAAAAAGATACTCGATAAGATAGTGGTGAGAAAAAGAAGAAAAGATAAACAAATAGAGACTAATCCGTAAATGCTTTCTCATCCACTTGGTGAGAAATTTGTTCCCACATGATTTCGTTTTTTATTTTCTCCACTTCCTCCATTTTTTCACAAATCCAAAGAAGTAAAATTACATTCATTTTTAGATTTTAATCTCCCGCCTAAAAATTAATTTCTCGTTACTATTCTCTAGATCAAACTTTATTCACTTTGTTGACTTATTTTCATTATCAATTTGATAAATTAATATAGTCATGTCACATTTAGTTTTATAGATTTTTTTATGTATTTTTTAATATATAACTTTAATTTTTTAAGTTCATACTATTATTCATATAAATAATTTGAAAATAACTTCAGTCAAATATCATTACCATTATGTTTGGTTCAAGGAATTTGAGAGAGAAAAGAAAAGGAAATGAGAAGGAAAATAATTTTCTTGTTTGGTTAGAGAGGAAAAGAAAAGAAAAGTGGAAGGAAAAGAAAAAGAGAAGGCAAAATGTAATCCTCCCATTTTGGTGAGAAAAATGAGGAAAAATTATTTTCTTTTTTTTTTCCTGTCAAATTCCTTGAACCAAATATAGTGTACATACAACGGGGAAATAATTTTTGGACGGAAGAAGTGCTACTCAACATTTTCCTTTTTCAATACGGAGTATTTTTTTACCATCTAAAAATGATGCGGTTTAGGGAATACGGAGTAATAATTACGGGAGTTATTCTTCAAAATAGAAAATTAATTTCGTGGATGGGTCGTGGGTGAAACTTGAAAGTCTGTTTTACGGGAGTTGATATATCGGGAGTATTTTTTCTTTGAGCGATAATTACGGGAGTTGTTACTCAAAAAAGAAAAATATTTACGGGGAAGGGTGAAAGTCTACTTTAAATAGGGCCAAGTGGCCAACCAGTCTCACACTGCCCTAGAACTCCTCGTGTTCACATTCATTCACCCTAAACAGTATTGCTAATTTGCTATATATACCAGTGTCTTCCTATCATCGCTTCATCTTTTTTAATTCGCAATCATCTTTCGGGGTATTTTAGATGGCTTTGTTTGGAGAATTTTGCTTTAGCTTTTTATTTCTCCCCAATCAGATCCATTCAAGAATCGAAGTTTATCACCGTTTTCATCTATTTCTAGTAATAAATTTGATCTCTTTAATTTCTTCGGTTGAGGTGTTTGTTGCAAGTTGATCTAGCAAATTTTTATAGTTTCAACTATTATCCTTCTGATTTCTTACTTTAGGTGTATGGATCTAAATCTATATGTATTCTAATTTTCTATTGTCCCAATATTTTTAATTTCTAATTTACTTTGAAATAGAATCAGATTTCTTCGTTTTGAATTTTAAATAAATTACTGTTTGTTATATTTTAATCTTAATTTGGAGTCAAATTAAGATTCATTTGAAAAACTAGTTTTTGTTCAAAAAAATTAAATTTTTTCGATGGATTATAAGTGTATGTGTGTCTATATATATATATATATATATATATATATATATATATATATATATATATATATATATATATATATACATACGTACATTTATATGTTTCTGTTCTGAATTTCAGTTTTTAGAATGAAAATTTCGGTTTTTTTAAATCGAGTGGTTTTGATATTCTTTTATGTATCTGTTCTTAAATTCAGGGCCAGCCCAGAGTTATACGGGCTGCCCAACCGGACTTGGCCGATCATGGACCCAAATATCTTTTATTATTATTTAGGGAGAATACATATGCAAGCCCATTACCCCAAATTCCAAAGCCCCAAAACTCCAAGAGTCTTGACTCCAGTCTCCAGCCAGGTCGCGTTCCGCTCTCCAGAGCTCTACGCAGACGCTCGACGGCCACCACCCACAGTGCAGTGCTCAACTGACGTCTGCAATCCGATTCCGGGGACCTTAAGTCCATATGTCTAGGTATGTTCAATGTCTTCTTTCATAATAATCTTATTTTTTTAGTTGAATTTCTGATTTTAATAATTTTATTCTTTATATTATAGGGTTTATAATTATGATAGAGTTCCAAGAAACCACAAGTTTAGATTGTCCTTGAATAAAGACGTTGCGACTCTGCGGCGTGATTTCCAGGATCTAATTGGAAAGCTGCGAATGGTGTGTGGAAGTCAAGGTCATGTGTATAAGGGGATTCCTGAAGCAAACTTTAAAGAAGGAATTCCGTTAGTTGAAGTGGAGGTTGTGTATGAAAAACAAAGCTGTAAGGTCCTGATTTTGAAGCACAATGTGTATATTATTGGTTACTCTTGGATGGGAAAGTGGAATATATTCAATGATATAAAGTTTAAACTTGCTGGAGTTTCAAAGCTTAAGGAAAAGAGCGGCTACACGTCAGGATTGCCGTCTACGCTCGGTGTGGCTGCCTTGGTAGATGTGGTGAAGAAGATGAATAGCAACAAATCTCTTGAGAGAAAATTTGGATGTGAGATATTATTTGTTCATCTTTGTGAGTCTGTCCGATTTGAACCAATTCGGCAGAAAATTATTGAGGGAATAAAAAAAGTCAGCGAGGATGGTTCTGAAGAAGAGAATGAAGTTTTTGATGGGTTTGACAGTGCTGAAGAAGAGAATGAAGTTTTTGAGTGGGTTGATGAAGCTGCTAAGTTTCCAGATGTTACAAGGCATGCTCTTCAAAAGGCAAACCTCAATTTTCATGGTAGTGTTGAAGGATTTGAAGAAATGGATAGCATGGCCCACCAATGGGATGCCCTTTCAGAAATATGGGCAAAACATTGTGCTACTGGATCGTTAGATCCTTTCAACACGAAGGATGTGCGTAGCATTTTGAAAAAATGCGGGATTTCAAGTATCCGAAGTATAAAGTATGTTTTAGCACTGATGAGCTCCCAAAATCTTGAAGAATTGAAGGATTCTTATGTCCCAACAGCAAAATCAAGTGTAGTGGAACGAGCTTGTTTTGAAAGAGTTTGTAAGCAAGTGAAAATATGGTCTGGAGAGAGGGCATTGGTTTTGAGCCGATTTCAAGTTTAAGATTAGTAGGGCATTGGTTTTGAGCCGCTTGTGGCATCCTGCTTTTTTTTTTGTTTTTTGGTGGCACTTTCCTTCTGCAATGCTATCTTGCTATTTGTCTGGTTAGATTGATGTTTCTTTTCTTCCTGAATGTTTAGTTAAAGGGCCGCGTGTGGCATACTGTTTTCTTTTTTGGTGACACTTTCCATCTGCAATGCTATCTTGCTATTTGTCTGGTCTGGTTAGATTGATGTTTCTTTTCTTCATTGAGAATGTTTAGTTAATGGACCGCGTGTGGCATACTGTTTTCTTTTTTTTTGGGGGCATTTTCTGTCTGGTTATATTGATGTTTCTTTTCTTCCTTGAGAATGTTTAAATTAGAGATCAGGAGAATCATGTACAAGACATAATAATACTGATCCCACCTCAAAATCTGATAATAGACTTGTTGGTTGTGGTTAAGAAGTTGAGATACCGCAAACTACCAAAGATATGTGTATAATACTGATCCCACCTCTAAATCTGATTACTTGTATAATGTCCACATTTTTAACATGTACTAAAAAAAAAAGAATTCTTTGCCTATTCATTTTCATGATTTTGTTTTGTTCTTTCATATATGGGAAGCGAAATTCTTTCCTACTGATGTTGGAAATATTGCCTCCTCTTCTAAGGCCCCTGCTGTTAAATCACTTCCTCCCACTGTCAAAAGCCAAGCTCCCTCACAGTTTAAGTCTACTACTCAATTGGATGGTAAGACTAATGTTGTGTTACCTAAGCTCAGTTATGCTCAAACTGTTGCACCTCACTCCGCTCCTGTTCCCGCTTTGGGTAATATGACTGCAAAACTCCCAGACAGAAATGTGATAATGCACAGAGACACTCCTGCCATCAGGTTTGCAGAGGAAGAGATTGAGAACCTATCTAGAATTGATAGGTTTACACTTCTGGGAAAATTTTCCCATGGACAACCAAAACTGGAAGTTATCAGGAAGCACTTTGCAACTCATTATGTCTTAAAGGGTCAAGTTACAATTGGATGGAGGGGTCCTCGACATGTTTTTCTTACCTTCACTAATAGCCAAGACTGCACTGATATTTTGTTAAAAAATCAAATTGCTTTCAATGGAGCTAACCCAATGAGACTTTTCAGATGGACCTTGGATTTCAACACAGAAACAGAAACTTCAATTGCTCCAGTTTGGATTCTATTGCATGGCTTGCCAATTCATTTCTTTGATATTACTGTACTTACTGTTAGAATAAAAGACCAACGCTAGAGGGGGGCGGTGAATAGCGTTTGATCGGAGAAATCGTAGGAATTAAAAAATTAAAAGAGAAGTAAAGAGAAGAGTAAGAGGCACACCGAATTTAACTTGGTTCACCACAACTTGTGGCTAATCCAGCCTCCTGAGAGACACTCTCGAGCTACACTACTAACTCGTTAAGCTTACGGGTGCTTAACAAACCGTTACAACTTGAGAGTTCGAGTCACACGAACCTCAACGAATCCTTCAAAGGAAACAGACCTTCCTTTGAATCAACCGAGAGAGATACTATCTCTCAACGTGTCTAAGAACACAAGTACACTCAAGAACGAGACTCTCTTATAGAGTAGATTATGCGTAAACTAAGTACGCTCAAGAACAACTCAACCTTCACACACAAATGGCTCTAGAAAGCTATGGAGAATGATGATATTTGAATGCAATGAAAGTATAGAAGTTGTGAAGTGAATTGGTGAGAAAAGCAGATCCAAACACCCCTTTTTATAGTGCCAAAGAAGGCTCCAATGGACCAATGCATTAAAGGGGTGATTGGCTTGATTTAATGGATTGAAAAGATTTGGGATCTGCAGAATATTGGCTTCCCATCGATGTTTAGGACTTACCCATCGATGGTAAGACAATTTTCCTTCAGTTTTGAAGTCAACGGTCACCTACCCATCGATGGGTACAAGCTTCCCATCGCTGGGTGGGAGGTTGACTTCCAAACAAGGAAAGAATCAACCTTTAATGACCACCAACGGTCATGCCTTCCCATCGATGGTATACCCTTACCATCGCTGGGTTCCCATCGATGGGATAGGTTTCCCATCGCTGGGCAAGGTCGTTCTGCCTTG